GCCATTTGATTATAACTTATAGTGTAATTAAATTTTGTATTGAATGATTGTCATAAACATTTTTCTATTTTTTTATTTTTTTAAAAAATTAAAACCTTAAATATTTTTCCACCAATAAGGAGAGAGTGGAACCTTACTTTTATATATATGATTAACTATTGAATAAACTGAATGACGATGATAATAATAAATTTAAACATTATTTTTACTATAAAATAGATAATATTTATGATTTTTTAAAGAGAGTTCAAAGATCTCAATATCACATAATTTATTTTCGGTTTATAGAAAAATTATGATTCTATTGGAGATTATTTGATATAATCACGTCTACCAAAATTTGATTTTGTATCCTTAGCTGGGTTTAGTAATTAAATATTTAACGAACGTACTGATCACAAGATGTAAATAACTTTTCTTTTTTTGTAATTAATACTAATGGCATGCCATTGTAAATAAGTTTAAATCCAAAGGATTTTTTCAAAAAGTGCTGCAAAAATGTTAATATAGATAGTCTCACCCTATAACCAAATGTATGGTGTTAATTGAGTATATCAAAATAATTGAGTATATCAAATCAAAACTCATGTTTGAATATAGAGAAATTCTTAGTAATACCCTTTTTATGATGTCCTTTTTGTAAATCTACCATTTTCTGGCTAATTTCATTTATATACTCTCTTAAAATTTTATCTCTATTTTACTCTTAATGAACTACACCTACCCAAAACATTATTTTCTTTCTCTTCTTGTTGGTCGTCAGTCGTAATTGGAGAGGGTTTGTCATCTCTACTGGAGAGTGTTTCGTCATCGCGTTGCGTCAGGAGAGGAAATTATGCAAAATGTTTATTTTGCTAATCCCCCTTAAATATATGATAATGTAAATATTCATTTTTTATCAATATTTATAAGGTGTGATTGGGTTGGAAAATAATCAAATTTTCACTAATATTAAGTGATTGTGGTTTTTTGATCAAATAATAATTGTTTTTTTTGGATTTTTACTAATATTCAAATAATGATTTTTGGATGTTTACTAATATTTTTATCTTTATACATTTATAAGGTGTGACTGCAATAGAATATAATCAAATAATGATAATTTGGATTTTCACAATTTATTGCAGTCACCACTGTTCTAATGATTAAAAATAAATAAAAAATCGAAGGCTAATTTAAATAGTTTGAGACTTTTAGTGTGTTTCATATTATAGTTATGCACCATGAATATCTTTAATGGAAGTAAATATTAAAATCTTGAGATACATTTGTTTTGTAAAAGTAATATATATGAACAAATGTAAATGCCAAATCCTCAGAGCATTTTAAGTTTCTTTCAATCGTAAAAGATAAACTATTATTTTTAATATTTTTCTCTTTATTTACTTTTGTACAAATTTTGTATTAGTTTTTGGTGAGACTTAGCTTTTATATAAGATAATTAAAAATAATGATGCATTTAAAACCTTAGTAATACCTCGACCTTCGTGTTGTCACCACTGCAAAATTATAAACGATGATGTCACCACTTACTCGCGGTGATTTTTTTCTCGGAAACACTTTTCCTTATCACAAATTTACATATAAAGAGTTGTACATATAAACTTTTTCTCACATGAGAAGTTTTTGCGAGACACCGACGGTAAGAACTTTATCGGCAGTATAGCAACATTCCTTTGACATCATCGTCATTTGAACAGGAATATTCAAACGAGGGAGATTTTTGGCGAGGAATGTGAAAAGATGGTGGTTAGATTTGAAAAACTAGAGATCCTAGAGATTTCACACCATCGTAGTTTGATGGTGTCCTAGAAAGTTTGTAATAGGTCTAAATCCGGAAATAGCCCACTGAACAATTATTTATAAAAATTGCAAAAATGTGACTGGTTTGCTTCATTTTACCAACTACTATTCTTTGGTTTTTAAATAGAAATTTAGAATTGAAAAATAAGTAAAGTAATACACGTTTCCACATATATTTGAACTACTATACATACATACAGAATCTTTATAACATAAAAAAAAAACATTTAGATTTCAGTAAGTTTATGTTTGTATCTTCCACAACATGTGTTATTCAATATTCATAGAATGTTTGTGAAAGTTGTATATTTTTCAAAATTTACTTACCGTATAATCAGAATTTGAATCATCATAGAGTCATGTATCAAGTTGTTTGGTTATAAAATGATCATACATGTTTGTGACCAATAACATAGCTTCACAAATTTGTTACAATGTGTATATGAATACTTTGCTACCATCTTCATCTATTTGTCTGGAAAGAGGAAATCAACTAGAGGTGTCGGAGATCAAACGGAGGTACTGTCCAGTCGTCTTCTGAGTCCTGCAATCCATCATCCAAAGCGAAAACATCGGTGAGTCTCCTCCTCCCCGGCCACAACCGCCGCTTGTCCAAAGTGACTGAACCTTCATGGTGGATTTTTTGCTTCTCTCACGTCAAGAGGGTCTCAGCAGTATCGTTCCCTTACAGCCACTGAACTCACCGAACAAATGTAGGATACCAAGAACATGATGTGCACTGCTGACCCAAGACATGGCCTCTACCTCACTCCCCCATGTTCCGTGGAGAGATAAGCAAATGCTGAACGTGCATAACAATAACTCTTTGTCCTTTTGGAGTTTGGTTGTGTTATGGATACTTACGTTTGGTATCTGTTTCATGTTTGGCTATTATGAGAGATTCAATAACATAACATCCTTGTATAGCTAACGTTTAACTCGTTTTGTTATCAATATACTCTTCTTTTGTTGTGTGATAATTCCCATTTGCTAGTCCATGGTCAATCTTTATGGAACCTCAACACATCTCAAACGACTTTTGCATCGGACCAAGATTGGGGAAAAGAGAGAAAGTGACAAAACTTTTGTTCAAGTAATCTCAAATAGTGCCACTAGCTTTTATGGAAACATAAGAAAGAAGTATAGGTTGGAAGCAAGATCTTACACAAATCTAGACAGCATAGGAGCAAGGCTTAGAGACATCTATACAAAGACAATAAGGAAAGGATTCGACATACATGGAAAGAAACAGAACATATCAAAAGATTGTTACTAGGCAAATCATCGCTAGACTAGGGCCAAACAAAAAACCAGAAGTTTCAACGATAAGACCATATAGAAAACATCTATACCAAGGCAATCTGATTGGTCCTCCTCATTCAAAACATCTAGCTTTAACCAATAGATATACAAAAAGATGACCATAAGCAATGGAAGTTAGGTAGTAACAAATTGTGCTAATGCTTGAAAGCTGTAAAACCATTGATTGAAGTCAATGAGAACCAAACATATCCTGCAACCTACTTAAGTTCTAGCAGGACAGCTAGAAATGGAACAGAAAAACCCGAAAGTTCTCGATTCCATTTAATGATCACACACACCATTAGCTCCTAAACTAAAATCTGCCAAGAGTTTACAATCCTTAAAACCAAAAGACGAGGTCAACGAGAGCCATACACATATCCTGCGACCAAGTTAAGATCTAGCAAGTTAGAAAGACAAGGCGAAACGGACTTCTCGTCCTTGGTTCCTTTGATAATCAAACCATTGACTATACAACTCCTAAACTAATCACATTGGTGTCAACGATAATGAATCAAAACCCGAAAGTTCTTGATTCCTTTAAAGATCATACCTTTAGCTCCTAAACTAAACACTACCAAGAGTTTACAATCCTAGAAACCAAAAACCGATAACCATACACACATATCCCGCAACCAAGTTAGGATCTAGCAAGTCAGCAAGACAACACAAACGAACTTCTCATCCTTGGTTCCTAAGCTTTTAACATTGGTGTCAAAGAATGAAGAATCAATAAGAAACATCATAATCACACTTTATATAACAAACATCGACTACAAATCGTAAAGCACTGATACTTAGAGTATATTAAGTTTAGATTACTTGTACGAAACATAGGATAAGCAACAAACGTAAAATCATGATAATATGCAGAAACTGAATTCACAAAAGGAATCGTTGTTCTACTGTTCTTGATTATGATAAAGAACAACCTCAAATCAAGCAGCTTCCTTGACAGGAGCTGGAGCTGGAATCTTAACATAACCCATCTTCTTCAAGCTAGCAGCATCAGATTCTTCATTCTCATAATCATCTTCCTCAAAATCATAGCTCTGACGATTCACAACAAGAGCCCAAACAAGGTACATAGTAGCAGCGGTCAAAGCACCACAACCAACACCGAATAAGAGAGCCACAACGACGCTGAGGATGTCTCTGGTCCGATCTCTGAACGAATTGATGTTATCGGAGACCAAAGGGAGAGAGAATTGGGAACGAGCCTCGTCGTCCGATCTTTGGATCTGTTGCGGCGTCTCGTGACGGCGATTGACGAAGAAAGGAACGACGTGGTGAGGATTGAGACGACGGATGGTGAAGACGGTGACGAATCGGGTTGATGTGAAATCGGATTCGAGGTTAGGGTTTTCTGGGGTTATTGAGAGGGAATAGGACGAGATGAGGAAGGTTTTGCAAGGACGTGCGGCGGAGATGGTGGTGACTGAGAGGAAAATTGCGACGGAGATCGCGAGGAGGAGGTACGAGGATGATGACGACGCCATTGTTGTGGTATTGTATCGTCTTTGACTTCTTCTTCTTCTTCTGATTTTGGAACAAACCTAACCCAGAGAAGATTCGGTGAACGAAGAAGATTAAAAACGATTTGTTTTTTTTTTCTTTTTTAACTTTTATTTTATTTTTAAATAACCCCTCTATTTTTGTATTTAACCATACCTTTTGTTTTATTTCCTCATTGGAATTCTCCCAAACTTTTCACCTCAACTTTTTTGAGGTTTTATGAGCATAACACATCATTAGAATTTTAATCAATCAAAATATGATGATTAATATACATCGGTTATGAATGTTCTCTTACCATTCGCTACTGTCTGCAACCACAAATGTTTGCGAGATTTTTTTTTTTTGAAAACTTTTAAAATTTAACGATTTTTTTTTTGACTTTAATATTTTAAATTTAACATAATTTTTCCAAAAGAGAGGTATGTTTTGATTTCATATCTTGTATTCCTGGATGTTCTGAAAAAAATTGAAACTTCTTCGTAAAGCTCTCTCTGTTCTTAGAATCAGTATTGAGAATGGAGAAAAAGCATCTTTTTGGTTGGATCCATAGACTTCGTTTGGTCCACTAATCCATTCTTGGGGCTGCAAGACCCAGATCTTAGCATACCTCTCTTCTCGCTTGTTAAGGATACCCTTCCAGCTCACTATGATCTTCAGCTGCTTTCCTACATTACAACTATTCCTATATCTTCTACAAATGATGTTCCAATGTGGCAAGTTTTTAATCGTGAATGTAGACTTTAATTTGTTTCTTAAGATATATGGAATAACATGAGAGACCTCAAGCCTCTAGTACCATGTTATCCTTTGGTTTGGCCCAAGGCTTCTATTACCGTTTTTTTTTCCGTCTGAACTTCAATATAAATGTCACGATACAAAGGAGCAAATAAAATAAAAGCACAAACAAGACAAAATAGCGAAAGAAAAAACCGAGCCTCACCTTCCTCCCCATTTGTCTTCAGCTATTCGATTGTAAAGCCATGAAGCCCCCCCCCCCCCCCCCCCAATAAAATGTTAACCGCCCTTCCCTTGTAACACTGCAGGCGATGTCCCGTGCCACCGAATTAGCACGTATAGAGGACAACTTGAACGATACCAAAACCATCAGACTACACACTTGCTATATCATGAGTAGAATAGAACGGTACTTAGACCACTCAACAGGCTGTTCCAACGCCGCAACAGCAGCACAACATTCAGTTTTTTTTTTTCTTAACGTAATTTTATTAATTTTGTTATATGGGTTGCCACATTATTACAACCTGTACTTATTCTATTCTCAGTATTTCAACATGTACTTTTGATCTCTTCATAAAACAACACAAACTTGATTTATTCTGCATAAATCAACTTATACTTTTAAAACCATCTAAAACAGTACCTCTCCAATTGAGATAGATAATCACGATTACTAAACCCGATTAAACCATTAATCACGATTACTCATTGCGTTTCACCCTAATCCAAGTCTCAACAACACCATATAACCACGTAGCTTTGGGAGAAACATCTACGGTTCCTCATAATTGGGGAAAATAAATTTTGGGATCTATCGTAAGGATTTAGGAAGTTACGAGATGCATATTAGTCCTTTGCTATGCGAAAGTGTTACAGATTTCAATCCGAAAAGCAACGCAAGTGATGAAGCTGCTTATGGTTCTGAGAAAGTCACGAATGGAGAAGACAATGAAAATTCTTGTGATGAGGCTGGTGATGGTCGTGATGAGGCTGGTGATGACGATAGAGATGTTGAAGTCGAGAATTCGACAAGCCAAATCAAGACAAAACGAAAGAGACATGAGACTGAAGATGAAGAAGACAAAAGGGAGAGTAAGACGACACGGAATAAAGATGAAGAAGATGACATAGTTGAAAGGTTCGAGTTTGAGATAGAGGATTCTGTAGCAAATTGGTTTGATGATTTTAGGATTAATCGAAATATTGTCCCAGAGAGTTCAGATGAAGAGGAAGATCCCATAGTTGTTAGAGATAGAAAAATTAGGATTGGAACAAATGATAAGTTAGCTATTGGAAGAACATTCTTAAGTGGGTTTGAGTTCAAAGAGGTTATGTTACATCATGCTTTGAGGACAAGGGAAAACATTAAGCAAAACAGATGGGGGAAGGACAAAATGAGCTTTGTATGTGGTCAAGATAAAAGTTGTGATTGGAAAGTATACGCCGCATTCGACAAGACTCGGCAATTGTGGGTTGTGAGGACTACTTGTGGTTATCATAGATGTAAATCGAACGGGAAATGCAAGTTGTTGAAGAGTCCCGTCATTGGAAGGCTATTCTTGGATAAACTGAGGTTGCAGCCTAACTATATGCCTCTTGATATTCAAAGGCATATTAAGGAGCAGTGGAACATACTCAGTTCTATAGGACAAGTTCAGAGAGGAAGACTTCTAGCTCTTAAGTGGCTTCAAGAAGAATATGCTCAGCATTTTGCTCACCTTAGAGGTTATGCAACCGAACTCATAAATTCAAATGCGGGTTCCACTGCTGTTGTCGATACCTACCCTAATGCCGATGGTGAAGATGTTTTCAACCGTTTTTATGTCTGTCTTGGAGCAATGAAACAAGCATTTTACTATTGCCGGCCTATCATAGGGATTGATGGGACTTTTCTGAAACATGCCGTCAAAGGCTGCCTATTGACTGCTATTGCTCATGACGCAAACAATCAGATATATCCAATTGCGTGGGCAGCTGTACAAACTGAAAATGCTGATAATTGGTTGTGGTTTCTAAAACTACTAAAGGTTGATTTAAATCTAAAGGATGGGCAGAAATATGTCATCATATCAGACCGTTCTAAAGTAAGTGTTCTTGTTAGGCTCAATGTTTAAACATTTGTCTTCTTTCATTTTATATTAACTTGATGTTACATATTTACTTGCTTGTTTATGTAATTATGTAGGGAATCATAAGTTCAGTGAAAAATGAGCTACCAAATATTGAGCACAGAATGTGTGTCAAACATATTGTGGATAACTTGAAGACTAGGCATGGTGATAAAGATTTGCTAAAAAAGCTGGTGTGGAATCTAGCTTGGAGTTACAACCATGCTGAATTTGAAGCAAATCTGAACAAGATTAGAGCATATGATCGGTCTCTTTATGATGATGTGATGAAGGAGAATCCAAGGAGTTGGTCAAGAGCTTATTATAGGATAGGCAGACGCCTGCATGCACCTAGTGATAGTGGGACATAGG